AGCTTGATTTCTTTTTGTAGTTCTGTCTTCTTGTTTTTGTTATTGAAAATTCCTTTCAGCTTGCATGTGTTTAATGTATCTTGCATTAAACAATCTTGAAAAACCTGTGGAGAATTTTAATAGCAAATCTTGGAGATGGTAATTTTCCCCATCACCTTTCTGTATAATATTCGAAAGAACTAATTAGTTTAGTTGCTCTTTAGTTTTACTGTAATGCAACAGGGCCATTGATTTGACTCCAGTCATAGACTGGGTACATAGCTAAAGGATACTTAAAACAACAACAACAAAACCCCAAACCACCACTACAAAAAACCCCGCCACACCATTCATATGGGACAATGGGATGTCACTAGTTGCTCTGACAGGTGCTCGGCAGATGATGCTGGTCTTTGGGCATTATGTTGAAATAAGGAATCTGTGGATGTTTACAGGAAACGTCCCTTATAATTTGAAAACTACATGATTGCAAAGAGACCCTTGGAGGATTAAGAATAATAATTCATATTTTGGATCCTATGGGAAAAAGTTTGAGGAAGAAGCAGTGCAAAACCAGTAATCACATGTAACAGACTTCTCAGTATTACTTTAGGCCATAACTCTGCACAGTTGAGGAAGCAGAGAGAGAAATCAAGTAAATAAGGAAGGAACAGGTGTAGTAGTTGGGTGATGGATTTACGTGAAGCTGTTTGTACATATCAGAACAAAATTTTTCACTGAAAAGTATTTTTCCCTATTTACTGCTAAATCATCTGTGGATTTTACTCTTTAGCCAGTAAATGAATCAACGAGAAATATTTCTAGTCTCCAAATAATGACTTTTTTTCTTCTTATGAGAGTGCAGGTTTATTGCTAACATTCTGACAAGAGCTCTTAGGTTTATGTCGATGCAATTTAACTGCGCCTGTGGTCTTTGCTGACCAAAAGCTAGTTCACAACTGTCATCTTAGCTGGGATTCAGTACCCATTTAGTCGTTGTTGCCCAGTTTCTTGGAGGTTGGCATGAATATAAAGTGAACTCATGTCTGCTCGAAAAAGACCATGTGGATTAGTTCTTAGAAAGCAGACTCGCCATTTAGGTAAGTTGTGTAAGTGTATAGTAGTATGTCTCATTCAGAGCTAGTGAAAAAATTAACTAGGAGAAGACTAAAATTTAGGGGCCACGGTCACCATCTGAGCTTTGTTTAAAGCCTCCTGAATTTGCTGAAAAAGGCTAGGATGAAAATGTAGAGACTTCTTTGTGTACATGTTTTTATGTAAGAGAAGCTTAAAATAAATACTATTCTTTAAACCTCTGCTGGGCTTAGGTGCCTTTTATCTGCAGCTAAAAAGAGCTTTTGCAGTATATTAACCCTCCAAGTCTTCAGAGACCCAGAATTCAAGCCTTATTCTTGCAGGGGGAGGAGGGTGGCTTATGCTTAAGACAGGAATAAGGAAATGAAGGGAAGTGGATGGATGGCTAAATTCCAAGGGCATTAACAACATTTCTGTCTTGTATCAAGACAGCGGGCTTCATTGTTACTGACTTTTTAGGGATTAGGTTTTTTTCCCTGAAATGCATGCTTGAACAAAGAAGTATTCTCTATTTCCTGCGGGTTTCTTTTGAAATCTGATGCTTCGTAGTCTGACAGGGATACCCCATCGTCTGTGTGCCAATTCTTGGCATAGCACCTTCTGACTAGAGAAAGGATAGAGAATGTGGTAGAGGAAGAATTCCCACTCACTGGTGTTTGAAATCAGCTGGCAATATAGACATTATATGCTCACCCCATGGACTCAGAATATAGTATGCTGTTTGTTTTGCTTTATTCCTAAATTCATCTTCCACCTGCAAACACTGTCTGGGTGGAGAAAGCACCTGTGAAACTGAGTCTAGTAAATTAGTGGTTACTGTTTCTGTCTGTTGCCTCCCATGCTTGAAGCAAGAGACTAAAGTGGCACCATCTTCAAGCTGAGCTATATTTTTGGGAAGAGGCATTACATATTTCACTATCTGTTCCACAAAACATTCAGGTGGTATCTGTTCCACAGAGCATGCAAGTGGTTGTCGGTGCTTGTATCAGCACTCTTAAGGTACAATTGATATACTTTTTGGCAAGGCCAATTTGGGGTATTTCTCCTGACTCTTGTGCCAAAGGTTGCAGTTATGTAGTCATCAAATCACATTCTATGTTCCACACTTACTATAGCTAGACTTTTTTTTCAAATTCTGAGAGCTGGATTTCTTCCTGTTGGGAACTGTTCCTTGATAGAGTTATTTTTATCCTTTATTTCCCCTTGTTTTTTTCCCAGGTGGGCATGGGAATGCTTCGTAATTTTAATTTTGGTTTTAGCAATGGAGTTTTTTTTTCCCCTAGATTGATTTGCATATCTGACTGATCTTTGAATGTCCGCTATAGAAACTGCAAAAATGAAGTGGAAATCAATGTCTCACTGGTTAGTGACCTCATTACATCTGTGCGCAGTCTGTGAGGGGACAAGGACAGTCCTATAATTCCCCTCAACATAGCAGGTATTTCTGAAAGAAATAAACTGGCTTGAAGAAAAAGAATACACGTAGGAGAGTGTAGTACACTACCTCTAGTCTGTCTCTGACTTCTGTCATCTTAAAAAGGTTTGCACTGCCCTAAGCATAGCAGATAGGCACTCTGGGAGATGCTACGTTACTGTAGGTAATTGTTGGTCAGAAATGATCATCTCCTTTAGGAGAGAGGAGTTGGTGTTATTTAATATACATTTGTCACTTATTATTATTATCATGTAGTCTTGTAATATGATATTTAATGTTATAATAAGTGTTATTTAATATACGTGAGTTGAAATATCTCTGCCATTTCAAATGTTAGTACCTAGAAAGGTATTTACCTTATAGCTTGTAAAGTAAAGTGCTGATTCTATAAAGAAGCAACACGTCCTTCAGGAAACATCATTTTAATGTTATTAACAGACATGTCTTAAGCTATAAAAGTCCCTACTGTCACAGGGGATATAACAACAAGAAGAATGTAGGGAACAGGTAACACCACTCTTTGCTCTTCAGTGCGATCTCTGTTCCAACCAGATATGGGGTTTTTGTTCAGTATATATATATGCATATTCTTCCTGCCATCTTGCAGCCTGCTGTAGAGCTAATCGTTCACCCCAGAATCTTATGTTGTAACCACTTGCAAAGGTTCTGGTTTGCTTCCTTCTCCTAGGTTAGGTTCTAAATGCAAACCTTATCCCATACCTCATTTCCATATTTAGCTTCCATCTTTCTTGATCCTTGATTCTCGCTCCCACCTCTGATTGCTTGAAGAAGTCAGTATAGCACCAGAGTGCATGCTGAGAACTGTATCTTGACATCCTTAACGTCTGAGGCTGACTTTTCTAATGGACCTCTTCAACTAACAATGGTATTCTCTGCGGTCTTCCTTACTAGGCTAAGCTGACTTCGTGATGGCTGCTTCAAGGGGAAAAGAGAAATGGCTTTATTGTCTGAATTTATTTCTGCATTCTCCTTCAGTCATTCTAGGAAATAGATCTCCCCTGTTCCTCATGTGTGAGCATGCGAGAGTATCCAATTTCATACGATGAGGTGAAGGAGAACTTTGATAGAGATTGTGTTTCATAGATTAAGTAATGGCTTAAAAAGCAAGATTTCGCTACTGCATCATTCCAGTAAACCACTATATTTTAATGCTACTGTTGACATACTTGGAGTAAGCAGAAGCCCCTGGGTGAGGAAGAATCACAGGGTCTTTTAGGCTGGCAGGGAAGTTCAGCCCCCCAAGAGCTGTGAGCTCAAAGGGAGGTGGGGACAAGGCAGCAGCTCTCAGGAAGGAGGCTGTGTTTCGGTTCAGAGAAGCAAGGAAGGTGGGAATGAAATGATAGCAGGGTAAGAGGAGGGCAGTGGAGGCACTAACAGTGAGGTCTGCTTTTAATTTTATTTCACTTAAATTTAAGGGGAACTGTTGCAGTATTTGGTAACTTCTTACTGGTTACTTGCGTGTTAAGGATAGGTATTTGAAAATACAGCACGAGGTTTCATATTATCTCAGTATTGTCATACCGTCTCATGTCCCAATCACATTTACACAGGACACAAATCGCTAGAATCTAGCTCAGGGAACTTGCAACTGGTTATACTGGGGGGTTAAATCACTAGGTGGTATTTTTTAAATCTAAATGGAAGCAGAATTTGGCCGGCTGCATTGCAGGTGAAGCTAGCAGATTTGTGTTTCCATTGTGAGCAATGAGTTTATACATTTACCCTTGGCTTTACACTGTTTATCCTGCATGGTTGGGTGGTTTTGGTTTGTTCTTATGGGCTTCTGAAATGCAGGCAGACTCAGAAGTATTCATGATCGTGAACTTCCTTGGGCAAGTTAGGTTAGTTTCCATTTCATTCACAGGGAATAAGAATTCCCCTGCTTTATTTCCTAGCTTGGTTTGTAGTACTACTTTTTGAAATATGTAGGTTTGAAGAATTTACTGGGCCACAACTTCTGTTTTAATTAACTGCAGTCTCTCACCTATCTTTCTTGTGATTAGAAGTTGCTCCTGTTGCTAGGTATTTTGATTTTTTTTTTTTTTTTTTAATTTTCTTTTCTTTCTTTCTTTCTTTAGGCCTAGACCTAAGCTCTGACAACTTTGACACTTCTGTGCAGGGTAGTTTTCCAGTTTCATGTTCTCCTCACTGTTTATGCATTTGGAGTGTAACCTCTTAAACACTGTCCCTCAGAAGAGACTATAGACCTTTACCTACTGTACATCTATAGATAATCTAAAGTATGTACTATCTTGAGACATTCCTTCCAAAGAGCAAACTTACGTTTTGTAGATTTGTTTCAAGGGCAGGTCTGGGAACTGATAAATCTAATATTTGCACGGTCTGGTTGCCCTGGCGGAGGCTATCTAGAAAATACTTCTTATATTTGTCTTTTACTTAATGGCATGGGTCTAGATGTGAAGGTGGCTAGAATTCAGTAGTAAAAATTCTGAGAGATTCTTTTTCTTTTATGTTCTCTGGGCTCTTGGTTATTGTTCTCTGTGGAAGGTGTATACTGTGATGGTTGGTTTTTTCCTTTTCAACTTCACTTTGGATGGATACAACATGTCCTGTGTGCCCAAATATAATACCTTTTTCTCCCTAAGCTGGCAGGAGACTTTTTGTATTATAGAAATATCAAAGAAACTCTTCTTCTTGTCACTGAAAGGATGTTCTATGACTTGGGTTATGCTAAACGTTTTGTTTTACGAATTACAGGAGCCACTCCAGTAGTCTTTGTAGCATGTGCAAGTACGCTCAGTCCCTTTCCAGGATATGTAATTTTGGAAAGATTATGAGATAGATACAAAACAATGTTTCATATTCCCCAAGATTTATTTACTGACTATAGATTTCATAATTGTACCTGGCCATCCAATAGTATGCATGATTACTGTTCAGATGCAGGATCTCAATTATTTCTTACGTCTGATCCACATGTGGGGTTTGTGTTTTAATTTATTGTGTGACTGTACTGTACAGTCACTATTTCTATTTTAATATTTTTATACTACAAATCTATCATGATGCCATTATACTGTATAGTTTATTTCTTTTTTCCTATATGGAAATATACTATACTAGTATAAATGCTATGTTTTCTTTTTTAAGTGCATCCATGCCTGAACTGCACTGGTAGTTTGTGTAAGTCAAGTGTTACATGCAGCTGAAGTGTTTATCACTCTACCCCAGAGAAGCTGCAGTTTCCATGACTGCATAAAAGATCAGAATGAGATCCGAACACTTCTTCTAATTCCCCACTTCGGTATGCATGCTGGGAGATGCTCAGCTGTCCCAGTGAGAGTCACTACTGGAAGCATGATTATGCAAACTGAAGAGTTTTGTTACTTGGTGCCGCTGTCTCATGAATAGAAAGAAAAAAAGAGCACTTCATGGTCCAAACTATTTCCCTTCCTTGATAAGGAACAGTTCAAATACACAGTTCAGAATATTCCCCACATGCGTTTACTTTATTTCTACAACTGGTAATTCACTGAATGTATTTTTTAAAAATACTATCTGTCAAATTCACTGTCTCCTGCCAGTTATTATAGCTGATACTCTTAATTATGGTTGCAAATGATCATCTGTGTGGCTTGCTGTACCAGAACTGTTCCTTCTCTTCCTGATTATCATATATCACACTTGTACTGTAGTATGCACCTGATGACTACAATGGCCTTATTCAGCTGAGCGATCAAGCAAGGAGTGTGTTACAAGCACCGAAAGAGTGGGTCTGTTTGTAACTCTTTGTAACTTCTGAAGAAGGTAAGATGCGACTGGCAGAAACTGGGTCTCCAGCGGTGAATGGGAAGGGAAAGAAGGGCTTGGTGACAGAGAGTTTTTGCTTATGGCTTTTCCCCCTTCTTAGCTTGAGTTGGGATCCTCGCTTTAACCTTTTGCTTTTGTCCTATTAAAAAAATCAACTAATGTAAAGGATTAGGCCAATTGTGATCTGTAGTTGATGGGATGGCAGTGGTGGAGGTATTGCGATTGCCTGGTTCTGCTCAGGTGGTGTGTTAAACTTCCAGAAGGGTTTATTAGTAGAAGCTGATTTTTTTTTTTTCTTTCCTTGATATGGCTAGAAAGCGGACACAAATGTATGTGCGAAACGCCCCAAACCTCTGGCTTTATCGCTGTCTAGAGATTAAATTATCTGTTTCTTGATTTCCCTAATGCAATGTGAACTATTACTTTTTTTTTTTTAGGTTTCTTTGGTATAGTGGCTTTCTAATGCAACTAACTAAATTTGCTAATGGTAAATTTTCCTGCATTTTTGGCACTAACACATAATTCTTAAAGAAATTTTGTTGTGACCTGTGTGGAGTTCGTGACTTCCCAATACTATTGTATTCCATTCAAAATGCTAGTGATTAGTTACTATGTTTTTTTCCTCCTTAAAAAGCCACACAAATCTTTCAATACAAAAAATGGCGATCAAATACTGTGCCTTGATAGAAGTACCTTCATAGATAAAGCTATCTTCACATAGTCACCATCAACTCATTTTTTTTCAAATTACTTGTTTTCTCATGATACTGTTAGATCTGCTAAGGAGAAGATGGATTAGAGGCTACATGGTCCTCTAATAATAATAATAATTCTCAGCATTTTCATATTTGTATGGCCTTGGACATCTTTTTGGCTCTCTTGTTTTACCCAGATTAACTGGAAAACCAGATCAGCAATAGGGTTCAACTATGTATTAAATGGAAACAGTCTTTGACTAGAAAATAATTCAAGAAATTCAGCTGCTGTGTCTTAAAATGAAACGGAGGAGTTTTATTTAACCCTTTTAATTATGTTGCTTGCAGAATGTGTAGCCTTCTCTGCTAACTTTCTGTACAACTCTTAGCATGCAAATTTCTAGATCCTTACCCTGCTATTACAGCAAGGCTGCTATTTACTTTTTAAAGCTCTCCTCCATGCTCAGAGGTCTAACTGTGCTCCGTGTGGGTTTTCAGCTGCCTCTCAACTGCATTCAGGACTGATGTGCTAAATGACTTGATCCATATGGATTAACAGCAAAGAGCTGGTTTGAAGCAGACCATCTTTAGCTCCAGTTTGCGGCTCAACCCAAACTGTGTATGACTTTCTCTTTGAGCACAGTGTTATTCTGAAATAAACCAAGATTACTTCCAAACCTGAACTGGGCTTCAGACATGATGTCTTAGTTGTCTTTTTAATTTCTTTCTGCATGCTATTTCTTGACTAACTTTAGTTCTGTGAGAAGAAATTGTATGAAGTCTATACTAACTGTCTTATACATGCTCTTAGTTTCTAAAGTGTGCTGTTGCTTATATCTTAAGAATACTTTTACTGCCTGCTGAATGTTTGGGTGAGTGAAGCTCTGGCATGTACTTGCTTTGTTTTCATATGTTTGAATGTAAAACTAATCAGAAACTGCTGCTGGTGGTAAATGAAAAGTCTTGATATTTCTTGCCGTATATCAGGCACATATAAATTCTACCAAAAGTGGAACTCTTAAATATTTTAACCTTTTATAAAATCATGAGGACTTATGTCACATGAACTTCACTTGAATTGAGTTAATACTCGTAAAACTGGTTGATATTCCAGCATAGACCATATACTTTGCCTGGCACTGATTTCTCAAACAAACTATCTTGTATGCTGAGCTTTCGATCCTTCAACCTTTGATTTTGAAACTTCACTGAGATCCGTTTCTATCCAGCAAATGGGGCTTCTGAACTCAGCTTGGAAGGACTTCCAGCGTGTTCTGAGAAATGGCTGGGGTACCATAGGGCAGACAGAGATGTCTGCTTTAAACTCAGCATTTTGAAACTGCCTTTTAAGAATTCACGAGGGCAACTGCACTCCAAAGTAAATGAACTCCATTAACTAAAGAATCTTATTTGCTACCCTGCTTTTTTCTTAGCCTTGTTAAAATTACAGTAAAGGTTTCTTTAATTCAATTGGACTGCACCAAATTTGACTTTGTTTTACCAAACAATCTTTCTTGCGCTGTATACCTGTGTTAAGTTCAGCTCATGCTCCCAACACAGAACTCTCATACAGCTCTCTGGTTTTTGCTGTTTGTTGGTTTTTTTTTTTTCTTTAAACTTTGCCTGTGAGTATTCACGTGCCTTATAGCCTTTGTCACTTGGCCAGTAGTCCACATAGTACAAGAATTATCCACTGAATGCCTGGACATTCTTGCTTCATTTACCCGTTATTAACACCTAAATCTTTCTTTTCTTGTCAACCTTTAATCTGAATTACTTCTCTAGCAAAGTCTTTGCATGGAATTGCATCTACATCATTCTGTTCAGCACAACAGCAGAATAAGAGCTGCTGCTGTTCTCCAAGACAAGCTTTTAGTCTTCAGTCCCTTCTCCTTCCTTTTCTCGCATCCGGAATCTTTTTGCCACAGACACAGGAGTGCAGTGAACCATATGCACAGCATTAAAAACTGCATTTCCAGGTTTGGTCTTTGGTCTTAATAGTGTTTTTTCTTTTGTCGTCTTGTACCGTTGCAGCTCCATGCAGACTCCATCCTCGTGCTTTACAACTTTAGTGGCCAGCCCAGTGGAGAGGCATTGGTGACTTTTCCGAGCCTGGATCTAGCTAAGAAAGCAGTGGCTGAGAAAAACGGACAGCTCCTGGGAAGCCGCTATGTAGAACTGCACCTGGTCTAACTGAACACTCTTTGGGGATGGGGAAAGAATGTCGCACTAAACACCGTGCCTTTTGCAAAATAAGTCTTCCCTTGCCATCCAGGCAGCAGCAAATGTGCCTTTTCAGCATAATGTGTTGGAACGTAGAGTGGTACATGTCCTGCATTTAATTTGAAAAATGGCATAGCCTATGCCAAAGATAAAGTGAAACCAAAAATGATGCAGTTAATTTAGTTGCTTTCTAATGTACGTGTTTAAAAATAAGCAAACCCCCTCCTGGCATCTAGTTAATTCTGAAGACGATCAAATAGCACTTCAGCTGTCGCAGCCATGAGAGAAACCTGTTCAGTAGCGTTTGAAGTGGAAAGCGAAGCTCAAGTCATTCAGATTCTTCTGTGTTTAGTTTTCGAGAGTTTACACTTGACAAAGTGTCTGTTTTTTTGTAGTGTTTAAATGTCTTTAGAAAGGTCTTTTGGAATGCATAGCTTTCCCAGTTCAAAGCGTAGGTCGTATTGATTTTTTTGTTTTGTTTGTTCTTGACTGGAAAATGCCAGGATGCTGGAGCCCAGATGCAATCGTGCTTTCTCATGTTTTTCATTATACATCGTTTTGCAAAAGCCATACTTTTCTTTCTTACCAATGTACTGCTGCCAACGTGTAAAGCAAAAAACAAAAACAACAGCAAAACCAGGAAAATCCTCCCAGCCCACCCATAACTCCCTGCTCCCCACCCCAAACTTTTAATCTTTACAGGACAAAAACGGCACATAAACCTGAGTACTAATAAGTTATATTTTTTTATTTAAGCGTAATAGCTTTCAGATACTGTATTAAAGATTTTGCTCTAGTTTATGTGCATGCAATTTGTTTACATCTTTAAACTACTTTATTTGTATATTATGAAACAAGATATGTTGAAATCTAAATCCTCTAGTGCATGCTTTTTTCTTTTTCCCTGTGTGTGTATATACATAAGCTAGAAGTACTTTTACGTCATGTAGCATGTGTTTAAAAAAAGACATCTGCTGTAGAAGCACTAAATAACTTTGTTTTTACTGTGCCTTACTTCAAAACCATTCCAAGTGCAATACCAGCAGAGCAAAATGTAATGAATCCTGTTGTGACATGTTCATGGATGTCTGAATTGATCTTTTTTTGTTAGTGTACAATTTGAGTTGTACTTAAAAGAACTGAATGATGTATGCTTCTTGATATTACAACAAATAAAAGAGATGCTTACGATGTGTATTGGGTTTTGAAAGTGACATGCTTTGTTTTAATGTCTTTTCATGGGGCATCATTCTCTGACAAATAACTTTTTACTCATTTTTCTCTTTCTCCTAGATTTAGGCAAGCACGTGTACCTTGCAACAGCGGTGTGATTTTTTTTTTTTTTTTCTTTTTACATGTGCTGGTAAGCCAGAAATATGCATGATAAGTATTTTGTTTGTAGTGGAGCACTTTTTAGGCAATGTGATGCAACTGTTTACACTCTTAGTTCTCCTTCTGGTGCCAGAGAAAACAAAGTCTTGAACTTGAAATCGTGTTCATGTTTGGATTTAATTGCACTAATAGGTGCAATGCAAAATGCTATCTTTATGTCACAATAGAGCCAGACAGCCTTTCTGTAGTAAAAATGGAGAAGGGGAAAAAAATCACATAAAAATATTGTTTGTTTCTCTCTAGTCAAAAGCATTCCATGCCAAATGTCATTTCATCATTAAAACCTCCCATCTGAAGTTTTATCACAAGTAGGTGAGCCAGGAAAAAAAAACTTTTTCATTATTTTAAAGTGGGACTGTTTAATTTAATCTGTTTCCAAGATTCATCTTGGTGAAGTCTACCAGAAATCTTAGTTTCGAAGTAGGACTAGAGAGGACTGCACCGTTACAATTCATGTTCTCATTGGCCTTTGAGAAGAATGCTTCTCCCTTTTGAAGTTTTTGGGAGTCTCTCTCCTGAGCAATACAGTACCTGTGCCTTGTAGCTACCAGTCCACACTGGTACGTTCTGCCACGGTCCAGCTGGTGACGTTTTGGTTATGGCTTTGCAAAAAGTTGAAACATCTTATTTTTCTCTTAATAGCCTGTATGGAACTTGTGTTTTTTCTGTTAGCTAAAATGATGCTTAATCTACTAAAAGCATATAGTCTTTTTCCAGCTCCTTCCGTTGATTATACATGATTTGCTCATTCCTTGGCATGTTGGGAAAGCCGCGCCAGGGCTGGAATGGAGCACCTCGAGTAACGCATCGGCCATGTTTTAGATGCACGCGTTCCCCTTGCTCTTCAACACCGTTATGGTTTAGTCAGCGATGATCACAGTGTAAAACTTGTAGGCGCGTTCCCATGCTGAGGCGAACTGAAATTAGCTGAA